GTGCTATTTGATGTTATGTTATGTTATGGTATATGTTATGTTATGTTATATATGTGGATAAAAGAAGTAGTTTGGCTGCAAGTTATAACAACATTAACAACAGCCCACACCACAAAGCCAATATTTTATGCATTTTGTTATATATCGTATTTATTCGTGTACATTTTAATTGAACAAAATGAACTGAATGTATAAAGATAAAATAGAACAATTTAAAACAGCTATATGAGAGGGAAATGTAATCGAAAGAGCATCGACACGCGAGACTATCTGATTGTACGAGAATGGGGGCGTTTTGATGTTCTTTCTCTTTTGTATTAAAGGCAAAAAATAAAAAATGCGTTCCCTATCGTTTACATTAATAAACCCAAGAAAAAAAGTTACCAATGAACGAGCATTTGATTATAACCTTTCTGACGTTATATTTTCCCTGTGGTCGCAATAAATAAACCCCAGAAAAAAATGAGCCAATCAACGAGCATGTTCTAGACAGACAGTGAGTGCGGATATAATAATACTGTACTAATAATATACTATACTTATAACTATAAACCAAATGTACGCCAGTGATATCCTGTTCGCAAAATGAAATAGAAGAATGAAAGTTACAACGTCTGCGAACAAAAGATTCATCAACGTGTAAATAGCGCAATCTTTAAAATAAAATTGTTGTTGTTTTTGCTGTTGTTGGTGTTGCTTCTGCTGCTGCTGTTAATGCAATCTTATTATTATTATTAATTATCATTATTATTATTTTTATTATTATAATTATGATTATTATTATTATTATTATTTTTATTATTATTATTATTATTATATTATAATTATTGTTATTATTATTATTTTTATTATTATCATTATTATATATTTTTATATAATTAATTATTTTTTTATTATAATAAACGATTTTCCTCGTATGATAACATATATTTAAAAAGATCAAAATGATATAGATCATATCTCACACGGTCAAGTTAACATGAAATTGTATGTATCACACAATACCTTTAATCATGTACTGCCCGGGGGTGCGGACATTAGCCTCAATATACCTGTCAATCAGACACACTTTCGTCCAGTGTAAAGTTTTGTGGTTTTTTTTTTAATATTTTGAATTTTTTCACAAAAAAGAAAAGAAAAAAAGAAAAAAAACAAGAAAAAAATTACCTTCTCAAAAAAAAAGAGGAAGAAAAAAGAAACAACTGTAAATAATTGAGACTATAAAGTAGCTGGAATAGATTAACTTTACATTTCATTTGTATTTATATTATAGTATATGAAATAAGGAAAATTATGGAACGCATTAGTTTAAATAGATGGAAGGAAACACGGATTAACTGTGAACACATGATATAGTAAGTATTCGTAACAAATAGATTAGAAAATATTGTAATTTACTTACAGAACAAATTACATCTAGATAAAGCAATGGCTTATTTTGCCTGGTTTAGTATATTTATATTACATTTTGTTAATATTGTTGTTTCTTAGTGAAAGAATAATTTAAGGATAAGAAACTGTTTATGAAATGATAAAAATAATAACAATAATGATAATTATGAAAATAACATTGCCATTATAAGTGTTGTTGTTGTTGTTTTCGTCGTCGTCGTTGTTGTTGTTCTTGTTGTTGTAGTTCTTGTTGTTGTTGTTGTTGATAATGTCAAGACGCATTACTATTATTTTAATCATCATTTTCATCTTCATAATTATTGTTATTGTTGCTGCTGTTGTCGTCGTCGACGCTATCCTAGTCTGATAAAAAAAAGTGCAGCTAGGTAACAGAATAACAAAAAACAAAAGTTAAAAGGAAACTGAAATGGCCCTGTGGTAATTTTTCCCGTGTTCAAATTTAAGAAAGGGGTGTGGCGTATTGTATTTCTGTTATAACTCGTCTGAGAATACATGAGATAAAATATTTCTGTTTCCATGGGTACTTATTTACTCATATAGGAAAATTTGTTTAAAAGGAAAAGTTTCAGATTTTAATTTTAAAATGACATTACAAAATATAAAATTAAACCAAAAAACAAAATGTTTATAAGAAAATAATAATGATTTAAATTTCTATCTATTTGGTTAGATAATGTTATTTTTAGGTAAAACGTTTCATATATTGTAATTGTCAAATCAATAGAATAAGGGTGAAAAATGAAATTTGACGACGATAAAATACATAAACAAAATAGAAAACCCTCTTTAATTTCCAATCTACCTGTCCGTTCTATATTTAAATAAGTAAATTAGTTTAAATTCGTTTCGCGATCTTCTATATTTAAAATCGAACGTGACTTGCGCGCTATAAATAGCTATCTGGGCGCTGTAACAGTGATATGATGCACTTTTCCAAGATAGAATTACCGAAATAATTAGTTTGAAACAACACAGATTTTTCCTCAACAGAAAATAAAAATCTTAAGGCCGCTTAACCTTTTCCCTTATATAAGCGTGTTTCGACGGCTTTTTGCCCCCCCCCCCCCTTTTGAGACCTCAAACAGTGAAATAATGCCTTATTGAGGTCCCAAACACTGTTTTCCGTTTGAGAAATGTTGTTAAAAAAAGTGACCACTTTTTCGGCGCCGTCCCCCATCCAAATATATCATCAGGGGGTTGCGAGAAGGGGGATGTGCCCCCTTCTGTTTGGGGGGTTTGAAGGAAGGCGGAGTGCCCCTCATCGCCAAGAAACTTTTGGACATGTGACAGGCTAAAAATGGCCTCAGGTCGATCTTAGGGTAACAAGTAACCGACGCTGAAAAGCCTTTTACTCTATCTCAATTCATTGATAAGTTGTCGCACTTTGAAATCAGTTTTGATGGAAAAAAACAATGCAGAATAGTGATTTTTGGCAATTTTGAGACGTCCCCCCGTTGCCATGGTAACAGGAAATTTACATTGAGCATGCTGTTAAAGAGGCTATGGTGTAGTCAACATTTGTGCCAAGTTTCATTAGTATTGAAGCATTTTTCATAGTTTCATAGCAGTTTGAACTTGTTACAGGAGGCTTTTCAATGAAAACGGCCATTTTTTCGCAATATGCTCATGGGGTAAAAGGTTAAACCCTTACCCCGCTGGACAAGTACGACATGCGGTAAGTTCAGACCATTAGATCAGCCAGACATTAGTTTTGTCTCATCATGGTCTGCACTGTTTCTTTATGCAGTCAATACATACCTATGTCTTAAAAATTTCATTAAGAATGGACGATTTTTGGTCAAGATTGAAAGATAAAAGCTGAATCCATGTAGGATATATATCGTGCAAACTGAATACTGGGGCTGATAAATGTCATATTAAGACTTTTACTTTTGTTTTTCTCTTCGGTACGCGTAGAGTTTATCAAGTGTTTAGCCAGATATACCCGGCGTTTAAATGAATAAAAAAACTATTGAGGACATTTTATGGATATTTAGGATATGCAAAATAGATGTACAACAATTTTCACATCGACGCATTCTCATTGGAAGATAAAAGTAGGGCATGGAATTATCATTAACCCATTACTTCATGAGAATTTTGTGAAAAACGTATTTTTTCATTGAAAAGTCTCCCGTTACAAGTTCAAAGAGCTATATAAATATAAAAACTGCTTCAATACTAATCAAACTTGGCGCAAATGTTGACTGGACCATTGCCTTTGTACATAACGACATGCTCAATCTTAAATTTCCTTTCACCATGGCAAGGGAGGGACATCTCTAAATTGCCAAAAAACACTGTTTTGCGTAGTTTTTTTCCATCAAATTGATTTCAAAGGACTGCAACTTCTTAATGGATTGAGATAAAGTCAAAGGCTTTTCAGCGTTGGTCACAAGTTACCTTACGATCGACCTGAGGTCATTTTTAGCCTCTCACAAGTCCAAAATTTTCTTGGCGATGAGGGGGACTACCCCCCCCCCCCTTCTGGCATCCTCTGATGCATCCTCTGGATGGGGGACGGCGCCGAAAAAGTGGTCACTTTTTTAAGCAACACTCCGTAAACAAAACAAGTGTTGGGGGCCTTAATTGTGCATTTTCTTACCATTTGAGTCAACAGATGGGGGGCGGGGGTAAAAAGGCGTGTATATCGGGTAATGGATTAAAAAAAAATAATGAAAATACCTGAAATTACACAAAATCGCGTTTTCAATGTTAATACATGGTCTTACATATAATTTTGAAGAAAAATTGATGTTTTGTAGATTTTTTTTCATAAGTACGCTGGTACGCTGTCCGATTTGTTCATATATCAAAATATTAATGTCGATCATGCTGATATAGTTTGATCAAAAAATAATTGTTTAAAAAAATATTATAGCACCAGTGTATAGGCCTAAACGATTTTTTATTAGTTTTCACGAAGATAATAGAATTATAAGTTATTATCTTATTTTAAGTATAAGATATATTTGGAACTATCCCTTTGGAGGCAATAATTGCTATGTGGAAAGCATCTAAATATATATCTACTTGAAGCAGTCAGTCCATATATCATTTGAGACTATTTATCCAAAAAAGCAAGGCAAAACATAGTAGATATAATGTCAGAAATCAAGAAATCTCCAGATTTTCGTCCCACACATTTAAAATAAAACGTTTTCCGTATTCTTCTTCATTGTATTAATTTTCATTATTTCTATTATATATTCAGAACAGTCATATATATGTGTATTTAAACAGGACTTTTTTCTTTATATAGCAGGGACCGTTATAGGCCTGCTTCCCCAAAGAAAATTTCTTTAAAATTATGAAGTTTTCCCTAAAAATTGAATTAACATCAAGTAATTTTCTTCCCCTTTTGTAAATATATCGTGTTATTTTCCCCCATATATCGTGTAATTTCCCCCATTCCCCAAATTAAGGACTGAGCTGCTTCCCCAACCTGTGAAGAAAAACCCCTGATAAATGCAATTTTTGGACAAGATATCTGTCTTTATTGCGAATCTTATCTTCCATACTAAGGTAATATTTAAAAATCAATATTTATGACGTCACACTGTATGACGTGTTATATTCAAGTTTACAAATGAACAATGATGTAGATCTAAAGTCCAACTGACAGGTAAGAACGTTTTAGTGATAATGAGCAGTAACCTTAATAAAAAGTAAACTGTTGTTGAAATTAAATGCTGCCTTCTGCAGTAAGATCTATATAAAATGTTTGAATTTAAGGCCTAACATCATGCCACGTAGCTTCGTCTGGTTGTTCTGGAGATTGTAGAGTTATCTTTTTGGCCCACATGCCAACATTTATATGCAGCCCCTATTACAGATCTATGGAAAAACTGTCTCGCCGGCACCGGTGGCCAATGTCTGTAATTTTACTTTAGATATTCGGTCCTTTACTCTTAAGTAAGAATAAGTCAATCACTGTTGACGGTAGAGGTCACTAGTGTCTTTTTCGCAAGTATCACATTGTCCTACAGCCTCATAAAACAAGAGCCGGTCGAGCCGGTTGATGATCAAGGAATAGGTTTTGAAATTAGATAAGTATCTAGATTCTTACTATCTATTGTAGTTTCAGAGTGTGAAAATGAAACAATAACTCAAAAAATAGCCAAAGCAAAGTTAAGGGTTTTATGTATTTCACTTTCACTCAATAAGATATATCTAGAGGAGGATCTACATACAAAGTTTCTTGTTGATACTAACGTTACATATAGTTTCAGAGTTATTTTCCAGACAATATTCAAAATGTGGAGATTAAAAAGGGCAGTAACTTCAAAATTAGGCAAGGCAGAATTACTGTTAAATTGCACTATATACTTCTGCTCAATTGGATCTATCTACCTTCTTAGTGTATTGTCGATACCTCTTGTAGTTTTAGAGTTATGTCTCGGACAATGTTCAAAGTGTAAAAGAACAAATGCTCCAAAATAAGGCAGAGTTACAGTTCTTAATAATTGCCCTTTTACTCGATGAGATTTATTAACCTTTGTAATACATTTACGCAGTAAAACATATTACATTTCCACAGTAATACATATCTGCTGTAATACATATTCTAATTCATAGTAATACATATCCACAGTAATACATATTACATTTCCACAGCAATACATATATTTTGTTCTAAAAGTTGCAGATATTTCTCTTGCTCCCTTATTAACGGCTAAGGCATTTTGTATAATTTATAAATTTCAAATGAGTTTGTTTGTTCTTCTTTTTTTTAAGTAATTACTAATAAACTTGATATCTAACATCTCGTTACTTACTATATCTACCTTTCATTGTATATATCAAACAAGATTCTATCCTATAGATATGATTTTCGTGTAATTCTGCTGTATTTAATGTTTCCGAGGGATCACATTTTTTTCCAGATCATTTCCATTTAAATCATTTATGTATTTTGATATAGAGTGAGAGATAAGTATATATATCTCTTACAACATTAATGTGACTTAAGATTACAGTCATCATTGAGATGAAAAAAAATAACTGTATCAGTCACAGTGTGAGTGATATGGGCTTTATTTCACGGATAACACTCTCATTTAATTTTATGCGTAATATTATTTGTTACACATGGCTCTATTACACTTTTTCGCCGTGTTTTTTGTGATATATAAGATAGCTTTCACAATAAACGAAACTCTGGATTAAGTTTATTTTTTTGCGTTCAATGATTAAGTCCTTATTCACAAATATCATTGTTTGAATACCGTATGTACAAAAAGGCATATAAATATGTATTTGGTGACCGGATTTAATACGGCTAATTGGTGAAATATATATTTCGTATCCCTGCGAATAGGCATAAGACAATGTGTATATAATGAGAGTAAATATTCCGCCTGTTTAAAAAGTCTAAAAGTTAAGATTAAATTCCGCAAATCGTCGTATTTATTATTTATCAAACGTTCTCCTACTGTGATGAATGTGACTCATTCTTAAGACAAGAATAACACGTATATATTATTTTGAAATTATCGTTCAATTTTTTTATGATTTTGTTGTTGTTGTATTAAGTGAAAAACTATACATGTTATACGAGAACAGCTGCGCTGTGCAGCATGCATACACATCAAATGAAATAATATGAATAACAAATTGTCATTATTGGATAGATTATTATCAAAACTGTACAAGTTTTGAAAATGGCTTGAAGTAGTATATTAGTAAACATATGTATATGATATTCAGAAACATAGTGTTACACGCAATATTCAAAGTATTGCTGGAAGACAACGGAAAATTAAGGTACAGAAATATAGTGCTACACCCCATAAAGTATTGGTGAAGGAAAACGAAAAAGGTACGGGAAATTGAGTTGTTTCGTTCTTATAAATGTATGTTCTAAACAATCATGGCTGTAAGCTAAATAAACAAGATTTATTTATTTATTTTTTTTAATTATTTATTTATTTATTTATTTATTTATTTATTTATTTATTTATTTATTTATTTATCTATTTATTTATTTATCTATTATTCACTTGAATATCTATTTATTTATATATTTTTATTCAATTTCTGTTTTTTTATTCATTCATTCCTTTTTTATTTATTCTTATTAATACTTTTTTAATTAAGTTTCGTAGAGTAAATCTAATAAATTATACATGAATAATTGTATTAATATTAATTATATCTGAATGTACTGATTTCACTACTTTTGTCAAATTATTGTTGTGTTATAAATAGAGTTAGTGTTCTTGTTGCCTATTTTAACAAATTCCAAGTAAACGATGCAAAATGAAAGTAAATTATTCACAGTGATGTATATAAACGAAACCACTGTACCAGTCAGCCCTGACAATTTAATGTTTACCCTGACTTGCGATTACGCACGTGTTTATAAGCATAAAGAGCAAAACTTGTAAGGTCAATTAAGCTTCAAACTTGGAATCGTTTTAATTTCAAATCTTTTGTTTTTGTGTCGCCTCTACAGAGTAGTGGCGACATATAGGGATCACTTCTCCGTCGTCTGTCTGTCCGTCTGTCTGACTGTCCGTCACAAAACTTGTCCGGACTACTCCTCATAAACTACTGGTGCAATTTCATCCAAACTTTACAGGAATGATCAGTACAAAGTCTAGTTTTGCATATTGTCAGCATTTTCCGATTCAATGATTTTTGTTAGAGTTATGGCCATTTAATAATTTTTATTTTTAAATTTTGTCCGGACTACTTCTCTTATACCACTAATGCAATTTCAATGAAACTTTACAGGATTGATTTTTAGCTCAAGTCCTTGGGCAAATTGCACTGGTTTTCTGGTTGAATGATTTTTGGCTGAGTTATGGCCCTTTGATAAAAATGAGTTTTTTTTCTGTGTGTTGCCAGATACACAAAAGCTTATCCGGACTACTCTTCATAAACTACTGGTGCATTTTATCCAAACTTTACAGGAATGGCCAGTACCAAGTCTAGTTATGCACTGTCTGTCTGTCCGTCTGTCACAAAACTTGTCCCGACTGCTCCTCATAAACTACTGGTGCAATTTAATCCTAACTTTACAGGAATTTATGTCGCTACTACTGCGATCACTTCTCCGTCTGTCACAAAACTTGTCCCCACTACTCCTCATAAACTACTGGTGCAATTTTATCCTAAGAAGTAGTAGTAGTATTAGAAGTAGTAGCAGCAGCAGTAGCAGTAGTAGTAGTAGTAACTGAGATATCCTTTGTATGTTGGCTATAAGTACAGTTACAGTAAATTAGTATTTTGTATAGAAGTGAAAATAACACTTTGTTTGAGTTTTTGCTACGTTTCGCACAAACATTTTTACATTCAATATAATTTTAAGTGGCCATTCAAGGGAACTGAAAACAAGTTTTTTTTTTATATCAAAAACGGTCTCCTATGACAAAGAGTTATGTGTATTGTTCATAACAAAAGCATAAGTTAACATAATATGCATGTATATATTTATTACATCATTCGACTATTAAACTTTTCATATACATTGTATATGTTTTAAAGTTGCGTAAAGACATATTGATATTTATAATATGTAGAATTTAATAACGATTTCAAGCTGTTTCACGAAACATGTGTAAAATTTTTATGCAGTGTGCAAAATTCTATTATAATTTATCGGTATGTGTTTTGTACATAATGTACATGATTTAAAATTAATATCGGCTCATGCATGATCATGTAAACAAATGAAATTCATGAATGAAAAAAGTAAGAATCGGCAAAACAGCGATATTTTTCTACTATGAGATTGTGTGTCTAGAGGTATACTGCAGTGTAAAGGCGGGAAATTATTTTAATAGAAAGTCTGCAAATTTATGTTCATGCATGCCACTTACGCATACAAAAAGGCATTACTTAGAGCGCTTATTTTCATACAAGAGTACGTCGTTTAGAAACATGGAATTCTAGCATTTCCTTATTGAACATTTAGAAGGTAAATACATATATGCAATATAATCACGGTGCTGACTATCTATATTTACACTTTCAAGTGACGTAATCGTTAAAATGAAAAAAATTACTAAGAAATCAATAATTTTACGGAGCCCCTATGGTGACATTTTCCACACTTTTTTCCCGGAACTTAATTCGTTTTTACGAAATAATACATGTTTGTGTATTTCGTAATTACAAAATATTTATTCGTAGTATTAATTCGTTTTTACGAAATATTAATTCGTAATTACGAAATACTAATTCGTTATTTCGAAATATTAATTCGTTTAAACGAAAGATTATTTCGTAAATACGAAATATTATTTCGTAGTAGCGAAATATTAATTCTTAAAAACAAAATGTTATTTCGTAATTACGAATTAATATTTCGTAATTACGAATTAATATTTCGTAATAACGAATTAATATTTCCTAAAAACAAATTCATATTTCTTTTAAAACGAATAAATATTTCGTAATTACGAATAATAATTCGATATTAAGAAATATTATTTCGTAATTACGAAACATTAATTTGTAAAAGCGAATTTTATTCCTGGAAAAAAGTAAAAACGAAATAATAATTCGTAACAACAAATTAATTTTTTCGAGGGTTTCAAAGAGTTTCGGTTATATATATTAAGAAAGCCTTAAAACTAAGCTCCTGACTAAATATTAGGCATGGAAATTAAAATAATCGCCTGTCAATAGCGTTGCCGCCCTAGCCGTGATAGTACACGCTCTAGGACAATTTTGTTAAATTGGGGGTCCTGTGCTTCAAATCCAAACACGCACACATTTTTTTTCTGCTTCGTTTTGCCGATATTATTGAGTTTTGAAATAAAATATTATGTTTTTTATGATCGCACGATGTCAAAACAAGGAAATATACCTTAATAGTGAAAATCTGGAGCCCTCTCCCCGCCCCTTTGGTTTACTGATGTATATGATAAAGGAAAGTAATACTATAGCAAATTTCTTTTTTAGAGAAACATGTCAGAAAAGATTTTTTGCCTCAAAAATTAAAACATTGCTGATAGGAACATGTATTTGACACTGGGGAAAAAGAGAATATTTTGGATAGAGAATGACTTCTCACTCAAAAATCCTGTTCACTTGAATATAATAACTTGAGAATCATTCGGCTAATAATCACAAGGTTGATCCAGGCTTGTAAATGACCCCTTTGTGAGATTAGTAGGGGTTTTTTTTGCCAAAGGTACAATGAGCTTAAAAACAAATAAATATTTCGTAAAAACGAATTATTATTTCTTATAATCGAATTGTTATTTCGTACAAACGAATTAATATTTCGTAAAAACGAATTAGTATTTCGCAAAAACGAATTCATATTTCGTAATAATGAAGTAATTACGAATTAATATTACGTAAAACGAATTAAAGTTACATTTAATAAATTCATAAAAGCAGAAATAGCGACATTTCATTAATAAATTGGGTTTTATATCGACTCCAGATCTTATTTTGGTGTCCAGACAACCAAAATGAGTTTTATAAGCATAAAAAATGGACAACCTCATTGTGGCGAAATCGGAGGTACAATATCTTTTTGCACGAGAAACTCCGCCTTCAGATAATCCGTACATTAATATTAAGTCAACAAACATGACTATAAGTAGCAGTCCTAATTTAACGGTATATTTCCGCATTGTAATGGATGTTTTCATACAAATTTAATCTTTTTTATGAGATGATTACTTTTTACTGAACCTAAGGCCTAGTGCACCGTGAAGTTAAACGGTTAACATGTGTTTGCACAAGAAAATCTCATATTTGTTGTGTTCCGGATAGCAGCTTTAACATTGTGACGTAGCGCATAGACAAGCTGATTATAATCTTTATTTGCATGTTAAAATTCGTATACGAACTTAAGTGTTACCGTGGGGTTTTCCGTTTAAAATCCTAATTTATGAACACAATTTGTTGAGATTTACAACAAGACTGTTAAAAAGGTTTATGAATCTGTAGAATGCTTGGTTTTTAGGCGACGGCAAAAATATTTGTACATATTTATTAAATGTAACTTTAAATGCCGGGAAAAAAGTGTCGAAAATGTCACCTTTTGGGCTCCGTACAATTTAGGTTGATACAGGTACGGCAGCATTTAATTACTGATGTCTTGGTAGAATCGAAGTAGTATGAGTTATTTTATCGCTCAATAATTCACTATAAAACTGTGTCGTTATGGTGCGCAGCATTGAATCACTAAAGTTACGCTATTTGGTAAGCCTATGATTCCTCGCATCGAAACTCCATATAGTGATTTTATTTAAGCGATAAGATCACTGTTGGGGATATATTATTTCTTAACACAATTTCATGTGTTTTCCTTACTCAATCATAACTTACGACGTTTATCACTTAGGTTAACGTTGTTCAAGTCACAATTCGTAATGAATTTCTTTGATTTGTCAACCTCCATTTTCTATGAAAAGTGTCCGGTAATAAATGTCGTATACAAAATTCCGTCTGCTAAATGTCGTCAACTAAATGTCATCTACTAAATGTCGACTACTAAATGTCGTCTGCTAAAGGTCGTCTTCTAAATGTCATCTACTTAATGTCGTCTGCTAAATGTTTTCTCCTAAATGTCGTCTGCTAAATGTCTTTTACTTAATGTCTGAAATGTCTTCTGCTAAATGTCGTCTGCTAAATGTCGTCTGCTAAATGTCTTCTATTAAATGTCATCTACTAAATGTCGTCTACTAAATGTCGTCTGCTAAATGTCGCCTACTAAATGTCATCTACTAAATGTCGTCTACTAAATGCTGTCTTCTAAATGTCGACTACCAAATGCCGTGTCTTCTAAGTGTTGTCTGCTAAATGTCTTCTACTAAATGTCTTCTACTAAATGTCATCTACTAAATGTCGTCTACTAAATGCTGTCTTCTAAATGTCGACTACCAAATGTCGTGTCTTCTAAGTGTCGTCTTCTAAATGTCATCTACTTAATGTTGTCTGCTAAATGTTTTCTCCTAAATGTCGTCTGCTAAATGTCTTTTACTTAATGTCTTAAATGTCTTCTTCTAAATGTCGTCTGCTAAATGTCGTCTACTAAATGCTGTCTTCTAAATGTCGACTACCAAATGCCGTGTCTTCTAAGTGTCGTCTGCTAAATGTCTTCTGCTAAATGTCATCTACTAAATGTCGTTTGATAAATTTCGTCTAGTAAATATCGTCTACTAAATGTCGACTACCAAATGCCGTGTCTTCTTAGTGTCGTCTGCTAAATGTCTTCTACTAAATGTCGTCTTTAAAATGTCGTCTTCTAAATGTCGTCTACTTAATGTCTTCTGCTAAATGTCATCTGCTAAATGTCGCCCACTAAATGTCGTCTTCTAAATGCAGTTTGAAGCTTAATTATAACTGGATACGCTAATAAAATTTGATAATTTGATAGTTTGTATAAAAGACAGCATAAATATCATATCTCAACATAAACTTTGAATAAAATTGCAAAACATATTCTATTCCAGATCCAGTGTTGCGAACGTAAAAGTTGTGCATGTCTAACATATGCAAATAGGCAGAGAAGTATAAGAGAAAATGTCTTTGAGGAAATTCAAGTGGTTAATGAGTAGGTTTGATTTTCTAAACATTAGTGTCTGAAACCTTAAGGTAGCCTTTATAACATTCATAAGTATACACAATAATAATAATAAGCATCAGAATAGTTTTGGTATAAAAAGGGAGTATACGTCAACAAAACAGTTCACTCCCATTTGGGAGCCGTCTCAATAGTGAAACGTCTGTCTACCTGATTTATGTCCTTGCCTCCTATAATACTATCGTTTGACCACTGTGTCTGCCACAGTGCAATATGCTTTCAATTATAAAAAAAACATTGTTATTCAATCATTAAGATAGAGAAATTTTTTAAATCAGAGTTATATTTAAATACATAAAGGGCGTCAAACCCTTTTTTGCATTGGAAGTGACGCATTCCAAACCAAACATGAAAATGCAGGAATATTGACGAAATTTGAAAGCAAACCATGGCAAACCATTTGGTGTTATATACTGTAAATATGAAATTATTCGATTACAAGGTTATCACCCTTTGTTAAGAACATCATCGGTATCGATTCAATGTCTTGCCTGAATATATTTAATCATAAACTAACGAGATTACCTGCCTTTCTTATAAACTTAAAAATCAAGAACAAGAAAAATATTGTCCTGGTCGTATTATTAAATTATGAGTTTACGAGGTTATCTCCCTTTATTATAACTAATATTCAATTATGACTTTACAAGGTTGTGTCCCTTTATTTACAGAACAACAGCGATACAGTATTCTCCTGGTTGTAACAACTACATTCATAGTGTACACATTCTTATGGAAATGTAAGTGTTTTTGAAGTTGTTAATCAAAATAGATTGAGCCTTTTAAGGTTGTATGTTTTTGAAGGTGTGTTTATTAACACGTACCCTTTCTTTCTTTCTTTCATTCATTTTTCTTTCTTTCTTTAAAAAAAATATTTCTAAAAATATCTTCTTTTCTTTCTTTCTTTCTTTCTTTCTTTCTTTCTTTCTTTCTTTCTTTCTTTCTTTCTTTCTTTCTTTCTTTCTTTCTTTCATTTCTTTCATACTTACTTTCATTTTTTCTTTCTTTCTTTCTTTCTTTCTTTCTTTCTTTCTTTCTTTCTTTCTTTCTTTCTTTCTTTCTTTCTTTCTTCTTTCTTTACTTTCTTTTTTTCTTTTTTCTGTCTTTCTTTCCTTTCTTTGCTTTTGTTTGCCTCGACCTTTGTTCTTTCATCGTATTTTTTGTGAACGGCCCTTTAACATGCATGATTACAAATGAACTTGTATTTTAGTTAATATAAGAAATGTTATGATTTCTAAAAATATCTTTCTTTCTTTCATTTTTTTCTTTCTTACTTTATTTCTTTCTTTCTTTCCTTCTTTCCTTTGCTTTTGTTCTTTCATTCGTAGTTTTTTGTGTACGGCCTTTTAACATGCATGATTACTTGTATTTTAGTTAATATAATAATTGCTATGATTTATTTTGTTGTAACTGCTGTTTGGTTTCTTTTTATTTTGTTATTCACGTTTTCGTTGAATTCTCATAAGATATATGCAGGAATAATTACCACCCTGGTTTACTTGCCTGAAGCTCACTAGCTTTTAAAAGTAAAGCTCTAACCAAGGGTCACATAATTGAGAGAAAGGCACCTTATTCACTAGGCCACCTAGAGCTACCATTAAGACCTTAAGACGCACTTTGGTATTAAATTTATTTGAATATTACTCATTCATTTACTTCTAAATTGAGAAAAAGGCACCTTATTGCTAGGCCACCTTAACCCTTAAGACGCCCTTTGGTCACAATTGCCTGTCTTAAAAGTATTTGAATGTATTTGAATTACAAATTACTTTATTTGTCTTTTTCTTCTTCATTAGTTACAGTAAATAGTGGAGTCCATGACAATTCAATATATGGACAGCTAAAGGTTTCCGGAAGCGGAAACAGTACACATCGTCACGTGCTTCCTTTAACAACACAAGCCGTCACCAAGAGTATGTAGGATTACGTAAATGACGTTTAATTTTTATACAGTAGTATAAAGAAAGTTATTTAAAATTGCTCTTTTCTGCAAGTGGCAATTAATTATACCAATGTAAACTAAAATATTATTCGGTCATAGTCTGCACTGTTTGCAGTTCAGTCATAAAATACATGTTTTGTTGCGGTTTTTTTTTTGTGTGTGTTTTTTTTTTAATTTACTCCGAAAATGGCTTTTGGTCTTTATCACATAAACAGCCTCCGAATAAGTTTGCAAATTCGGAATTTTCGCAAACTCAACTACCCTTTTTTAATATATTTTCAATACGAAAAAAGTTAAAATCAAACAGTAATTTGGATTAAAAGTAGACGATTATTGGCCGTTTATACAAGATAGCGCAATAATTAAACGCAGGGTGAGCGTTCAAAAAGTGTGGCCTCCCATGGGTTTTTTTAATTCTCCCATGGGGGTTTACGTGTCCCACTGACTTTCAGTGGGGCTTAAAACCCCATTTTGTTAAAGTGTGAGAATAAAACCGTGGGAGAAATTTTTTTCTAAAACATTTTTACATATGTTGAATTTATATAATACTTATTATATACTTATAAGTATATTAGGAATATATTTAAAGAATTTTGCAATTCTCCTATTGGCTGAACTAACCCCATTTAGTAAATTGGAGAAATCTCCCAAAAAATAAAAAATGGTGCGGAAATCTCCCAAAAATTAAAATGGGGAGAAATCTCCCATTACAGCGTAATTGAGAAACACCCCCCTTAGAGCGTAATCGGAGAGAAACATAAAGGGAGAAATTCATCCATATCTTTTTTGTTTTATATATCGGATCGGAAATTTAACAGTAAAAGTTTTTCAACATGATAAAATTCGGCTTCCACCTTTTAAAAAATGAAAAAGGTCCGGTCCAATTATTTATTTATTTATTAATGAATGAGTAAAACTAATTAATACTATATAAAATATATAAAATAAATTCATTCATTCATTCAGTCAATAAATATAAATCTTTTTTTTATTACAGATGGACAAGTCTATTTCAAAATATAAGCGTATCACGGTTAAAATTATTCATTACAATTATCGGAAGTCACCGCGTTATATACTTATTTCTTTATCAAGATAGTTTTATAAATATAGCACAAATTTTCAAATATGTGGTTTCATATTTATCCTCATCATTTCAGAACAAAAGTACCAAGGGTTTTATGCGACCTTATGGTTTGAAAGACTCGTTCAAGAAAAAATCTGGAACATATTTGCTTCGATAACCCACGTGGACTGGCTGACAAATACATGTATAATCATTGCCGAAAAATCGGTCAGAACCAAAGACCATGTCTGAAAACATTCCAGTCGTTGCGGACTGCGGCAAGTAGCGGATTTTATCGTATCTCGCAAGGGTTGATAAAATCTGTCTATGAGATATTGTTGCCCAAAAATACAAAAATATCAAAATAGTCTACTATGACATGGGACTCAATGATAACCAAAAAAAAAACGCAGGTAAAGAATCTGTAGAAGTTTTATCATTTTTTCTCCAATATTAAAGGAGAAACAGGCAAAAATTTTCATTTCTTCGTTTTGATTTTTGTCATTCAGTATTTGTAAATTTCCTCAAAATGAATACAATAGGCAGTCAAAAAAAACAATACTGTTTTCCATATAAAAGAATAAAAATTGTGGTTTCCCTACCTTGACCTATGCACGCGTGGTCAGTTTAGATCGTGAATATCATACAATAAAATGCCACAGTTAACCCCTGGAAACGTTAAAGAACATGTCAAATGAATGACAGACTTGGCTTAAATCATACAATATCCACAGTACCTTTTATTGTAATTTCCAGGCTTTGTTCAAGTCAAATGACTTGTTTTTAGAACTACTCGGTGATTCTTTGGCGTCTAAATTTCGTTCAAATATATATATATATATATATATATATATATATATATATATATATAATATATATATATATATATATATATATATATATATATATTTACTCTTCAAACCCAAAATATATAGAATTTTTAAAAGTCGGAAATTCATGCTGGGACTTTTATGAAGTGACATTTAAGCGTGGTGTGTGAGTAAATAGGATCGTATTAATAATTTTGTCTTTGATTTGCCTATTCCTTTAGCTCTGAAAATTTGCTCCTTATCACAGGAACGTCCATGCCTGAAATGTGGACATTTTTCTACGTGTATCCAAAGTATTGCAACGTCGCCTTACGCATTTAACTGTACCGCCCAAAATTAAAGCCAAAGTTTTAAGAACCCTAATAATAAAAAAAACTTTCAACGCATTTTTGTATTTTCTGATCGCAGATACGGAAATACAATGCTGACATTCATTCTCGGGATCAGCGCTTCCCGTCAAAAACCTAACAACAGGTATATTTCAAAACAGCTTAAAAACTAGCGATGTAAAAGAAAAGTATTTTTATTGTGTTACAAGTATCCAAAACAAATAACAACGCATTCAAAGTAGCTTTGGCTTTGGCTTATAGAATTGTCACACTCCCAAATTACGCGGATGAATATTCATTTTTATCAATGAAAATTGCTATTCTATTTCCGTAAAAATTCAATTATTGTGATTGGAATAAAACGCCCCCTTTAAATAAACATTTGTTTTTTAGACTTTGTAAAAAAATAAAGTAAGGATTTGACTCTATCAGTCGAACGATCGATAATCAATATCTACCTATAGGTTAAGCACCCGATAATTTAATTCGCGGTAAACAAAAAATGCTAATTTTTAGCGATGTCCGATTATCGAAGACTTCAGGTGCGCATTACACTAATAAATTTGATTGTCGAGTGGATAATATATCATGCCGGACTTATTTTGGCCCCGAGAAACATTTATAAGAAGTACCTAAATGGAAATTCTAAATATAGAATCATTTGATTTTATTCAGCCTTTTTTACAATCTCCGTAGTCCAGGGTAACACTCTTGCACCGAGACTTAGTATTTTTTTTTATCTTTTAAGTGAATTTAAATATAACAATTTTAAACATTATGCAAGATGCGATATGCAGGAATAAAGTTTGGCTGTCATAAAAAAATGAAGATGAATTTGATTTCATGATGCAAGAAGAAAGTCTATTCATACACAATTCCGTATGTATCAAGTTCAAACTGTATATTAGCAAAAAAATCTAATTGCAGTCGCAATTAGTTTCTTATTGCAACCCGGTGTCCTGCAAGATAAATTACTAGTTTATCAAAAAAACTTATAGAGGAAAATACATACAGATTAGATTTGCCCAAAGATAAGAAATAACACAGAGCGTGCAACCTTTTGAATTAAACATTATTGCTTCCTTAAATTGTTTTATCAATATCATTATATTCCTAGCATTTTTATGAATTGATGGCACAAGGTATCCATTATTACGATTATCTGCTTTAAATCTAACGATAATAAACACGTTTGTGTCCATTAATTTTCCAGTTGGAGACCACTGCAAGATTTGTGAAGTGAGGGAGTTTTCCATTTGCAAAATTCCCCGGACATTTTAAAAGGCTAAAAAAACTTATGCTTGGAAACCTATAATAGTAAGGGGTAGGTGAAAGTTAGATTGGAAATGTTGCTCTTTTTCTTGGTAAATAGACAATAATTGAAAGTAATATGATTAAGAGTGAATATCAAAAAGGGAAATGTTAGACATTTAAAAAAACTGTTGCAGGTTCCTTTAAATTTCCAACGTGACCGGCAATTTTCGAAGATATCAATATTAAATTTTCAGTGAGGTCGCATGGTTTATTTTGAATATTCATGAAAAAGCGAAAACCAGAATTTCCGTTATTTTGATTTTCAGCTTAACACTAAAATGGATATTAATGCGACTGTAACCCATAGTTTCTTGACGAATTGCAATATTTTATTGTTGAAGTAATAAAAAACTACATGTATTTTTATTATTAAAATAGTCGTTAAAGATTTATTAGTACGGATTTACAAAATTAAATTGGTTTCAGGCGCACGAACCAATTTATTTTTGTAAATACATTACTTATACATTTTAACCAGCTTAGTGTTTGAAATTATTTTTATTAAAACAGTTGATTTACTATACTGAAATTTGCCAATTTTACAAAGTAAAAGTTAAGTTTTTGTTTAATACCTCAAATGATTTTAAAAGTCCATTTGACATTAATGATTTTGAAGCTATTGCACACTTGTTCACCATCATAACCCCCAACCAGTAGACCGGAGATGATAACTGTATCAAGTATTTTGACAGAATTATGCCCCTTTTTTTCGAAAGTTTTAAGATTTTTGTAATACCTCAAAATATTTTCAAAAGTCCATTGTCATATGGCTTTGGAAAATTTGCATACTTGTTCACTAACCATTGACCCCCAAACCTGTACACAGGAGGAGGTTAACTCTATGTGAAGCCATTTTTGGCAGAAGTATGCCTCTTTTTTAGACTTAGAATTTAGTTTAAAGTTTTTGTAATACATCAGATTATTTTCAGCGTTTCCAAATTGACATATGGACTTTGAAAAACTTTTGCCGCTTAAAATTACAATTTATGACCATCAACCTGAGACAGGAGGAAACGTAACCTGTATCAAGCATTTTTGAACAGAATTATGGCCCCTTTTTCGACTCAGAATTTTACGTTCAAGTCTTTGTAATACTTCAAATATTTTAAAAAGTCCATTGACAGAAGTATGGCTTTTGAAACTTTGCTCACTTGTTTCACCATCAAGACCCCAACCTGTAAAACAGGAGGAAGGTAACTTCTATGAACATTCCCCAATTTTGCATTATAATTTACAAATTAAAGTTTTGCATACCACCTCAAATATTTTCAATTATTCTTGTAACATATTGGGCTTTGAAACAAGTTTTGAAATTTTATACTCTTCTTTGAGAAGAGTATAATAGGAACTCTCTTCCAAGGCCAAATAACTGGTTTAAATCAGGGATTTAAAGACAAATTTTGGGGCCCTTTTTGTTAACTTTTTAATAAGC